AAAAAAAAAAAAAAAAAAAGAAACTGGCCAATGCTACAAATCAGGGCTTTTCTCTGAGAGCTGGTTGTTACATATTTAGCAACACAACTGCTGACTGTGAATAGCTGCAATATGATGGTAAAAGTCCTCACCAGATATAGGGTGGTACAAAGAGGGGGTGGGACTAACCCTGCTTGGGGAGCCAAGGAGGCAAGGCTTATGCAGAGCGTTGAAGGATGGGCAGATGTTTGCTATGAAGACAGAGCAATAAAGCACAACTCAGGCACAGGTGAGGAGACGCATGGCATACACATTCTAGAGTTCTATGAAAGGACAGTATGGATGTGAAGGAGCTTGGGAACCTATAAGGTTCATAAACCTACAAGGTTCATAAACACAAAAGGGTGTTTATGAAGCAAATCCAGTATCCGATTTATAAGTGAGATAATTGGGGTCATGTCACAACCCATTGACCTTTGTCTTTAGCTGGCAGGATCTCTAGAGGATTTCCAATGTGACTCAACTCGGCCTTTACCCAAAACCTCAGTAAGAGGGAACCTAGGCTTAGGGGAGAGACTTGGCATGAGAATGGACTAGAACACTCTAGGGCTGCCAGCGAAATGAGAAATGTTGACAAAAGCTTTGAGATGCCTTGTATATTGGGGTTGGAGGGCCAGGGAAGTTGGCGGGAAATAAGACCAGGCTAAGTGAGGGTCAGACACGTCTGGCTGGCCATGCACTTCCGGCCCAGAAATCAAAGCCAGACAGTGGAGCCAGAGAGCTTGTTTTGTTATCTTTTGTGTTGAGTGGGGTTCTGGGTGCTGTGGGTTGCTCAGTGAACCTCTGGCTTACATAGGCCTTTTCTCCCCCTTGGTCCCTATGCCCCAGACTGGGGTGAACATGGCATCAGACTGTCTCCATGGTTTTCTGCTTGGTGCCACGCTGTCCTGAAGGTTCTAAAGGAGACTGAGGTCACTGGGCTCATGGAGCTGCCAGAGCCAGGACCCCACAGGACCTGGAAAAAAGCCCGGCCCCTGCCTTTGATGGGCTGGTTATCAGGTTGTTTTGCTCTGCAAGAGGATCATGGGGCCTCATTTCCCTGCCAACCACCCCCATCAGCCCAAGGCCATCCCTGCCCCCCCTCCCCCCACGTATAGACTCAGGTGGTCAGTGAAGAGACCACAGGAAAGGGATGGGCTGGCTGTCTAGATACATGAGCTGAGAAATCTAAGGCTGACCTTGATCAAGCCTCCAATCACAGCAGCATGTTTTAAGAATGATTTGTAAAAGAAAGCTGGACACTTGGGGTGAACAAAGGGGCCATTACAAAAGTGCTATGTTTTAGGCCACACATCTGTTTACAAAGCAGAGTGACCACAATCCTGGCCTGAGGCTGTGTTGGGCACATATGGGGGAGGGAGGGGAACCATGGCCACCTCTGTACAGGGAGCTCCAGCCTCAAGGCAGAACAGAGAGTCACAAGGTTTGCCCCTCATAAAAGGGTAAAGGGCTTTAGATGGTTTTGAGGGTGTGAGGTCATAGGAAGGTCATAGGAAGCAGTGCTTGAGATGGCCTTCAAGCATGCAGGGGCCCTATTTGGTGGCTGGCCTCAGGACGTGGTAACACCAAAATGCCTTAGGATTCCCCCCAGCTCCCTTTCTGACTGCCCCTCTTCTTGCTTGGGATCACACCAAGGATAGGAATGGAAAGCTGACAAGTTCACGCGTGCCTGGCATTGCCCTTCAGTTGAGACAAAGCTCTTGGCTGTGCAAAAGACTAGACTGCCTGGTTGAGATCACGGATCCCCATCGGGCAGCGAAGGGCTCACAAGATGCACATCCTTGCCTCCCTGTGCACACTCGCACTGACTCACTCGTCCTCTGGCATGGTGCTGCCTCTACCACTCCATGTGCTTTCTTAGTTTTGCTAAGCAATGGCTGCCCGCACCTGAGAGGCATGCACAGCGAATGTGCTGAATGCACCACCTGTCACTCCCCTTGTGCTGGAGTCACATGTGAGGGCTCACCCTTTCCACCTGGCTCCCTGCTCTCTGCTCGTGCTGTTTCCTGCACCCATGGTACCCTGCTTAGCTGTCACAACCCAACTTACCCTTAGAGGCCTGGCTTGTTCGTCCCTTAAGCCGTTTGTGAGACCGGAACTTGCTTTCAAGTTCCCACAGCATATTTTGTGGTCCTCTAAGCCTTTTCCAGATTGAATTTATTTGTGGCTGTTTCCATCCTCGGGGCCCACACACCAAATGCTCCAGGTGGGCTTGCTAAATTGTCCTCTCGAGGTGCTCCCTGCACGGCAGTCCACCAATATGACTTCCTGAAAGAGCAAGTATCTACTGAGTTCCTATATGCCAGGCCTAGCTAGGAATTTTCACGGCCACCAGCTCATTTAAGTCACAGAACACCGGGAGGTGAGGTTGTTATCCCACGAGGAAACAAATCAGTGGCCCTGTGACTGGTCCAAGGTTCCCTAACAAGCAATGGAGCCAGAATTCAAATTCAGGTCAGCCTGACTCCAAGGCCAGGGTATTTTTCACCCCTTATAAATAAGCAGATGCAAAATAGTAACACTGATGATCATTTATACTGTATTCTCACGTACATTATTTCATTTGATCCTCACAACAACCCTGTGAGGTAGGTAGGGTTATGTATTACTGTTATGCCCATTTCACAGATGAAGAAATGGAGGTGGCTCAGTGAGGTGGGCGACTTGCGCAGTCACACAGCACATTAGTGGCTTCACAAGTCCTTTACTTTCTCTAACGTCAAGCTGTTTGAATTAAGAAGCACCAAGAAGATGGAGAAAGATACTTTTTATGGAGAAGGAAAAGGGCAGTGGTGATAAACTGTTTTATTGTGGTCACAGCTTCTGCTGTGTCTGTTCTAACCTGGGTTCTTCTGAGTGACCTTCCCAAGTACTATTGGTCTGGTGACCTGGGACAGCTGTCAGAGACTCCTGGGTCCCACTGTAGGGGGAAAAGGCCTTTATTACCTAACGGATGCAGCCTTGCCCACAGCCCAGCATACAAGCTCCTTGTTCCCAGGGTGTAATTATAGGAAGTCCCTTCCTCAGCCCATCTCCTGTGGGTGCCTGTGTCACTAGGCTTCCCTGGTTTTGTCCAAGAGCCCCTACCCAATGGGGAAGATTCCCAAGGCCAAACTTCAGGGATGAATCATAATGTGCAGTTTTGAGGTCTGCACTGTTCATCACCCCTTGGAAAGTGGTGGCTTGGGGTGTCTTGCTCTGGACCTTATCCCAGGGAGGTCCATGGGTTGGTTACGACCAGAAACTGTACCACAGCAGAAGGCCACTTCTTTCCGAGCAATGTCACAGTGCCTGGACGCTTACTCTGAGAGGAGTGTTATGGTAACTCCAGGGCTCCTTGGTGCAATCCGCCCTGCCATATCCTGGCCTCCTTCCTCTGGCAACACTTTCTTGGGGCAACAAATCTTTATCCTCCAACAGGAGGGGGTCAAAAGCTATGTGGAGCCACAGACGGTGAGGAGGCGGATGAAATGGGTGTCACAAAACAAAGTGAAGTGATCACAAAATGGGGCTGACTTACAAGGGATGGGAAGGGGGTTAACCTTGGTTCTGGACAAATCCCAGGGTGAATCCTAATTTGAGTAATAATATTTTCAGAATAAGGGTCTGGCCTTTTAAGGTGACTATTGTGAAAGAGTAAACAAACATACCTCTGAGTGAGAAAGAAGGTCTAGATCCAAGACTAGAAAATGGGCGTGGAAGAACAGATTTTGGTTCAATGTAAGGGCGGGCTTTCTAACAGCACTGGCCAACCACGGCAGGGGCTGCCTTGGGGTTGATGAGCTTCCCGTTGCTGGAAGTATGCAAGGAGGGATGTGATCACTTGAAGGTGCTGGGGAGAGGTGCTTAGCCCCAAATGGGCTGGGGTGTGCTGGGGGCCAGGAAGGGCTAAGCGACCACTAAATTATTTTCCAACCCTGAGAGTCCATAATATTATTTAAAATGACCTCTTTCAATGATACTTCAAATTCTTGGGGAAAGGATTACAGAAGTCATGTAACAGTCCACGTTATGAAACTCCTTCTGTTGCACTGGCTCCAGGTACTTTAAAATCTTCGAAGGGACAGCAGCTCACCTGTGAAGTGAAAAATCCCCACATGTCTACATTTGGCCCAGTCCAGAGGGATATCCCCATCTTCTGAACCCTGCCTGGATGCTCACTCCTCTAGGCCGTGCCACAGCTCAAATCTCTCCCCACCACAGTGGGGGCCCAAAACGCAGCTCTGAAATCATACTGCATTTCCACGCCAGCCAAACATGGTTGTCCCTGGGCAAACAAGTCCAAGGTCCCGGCTGCATCCTAGGGACAGAGGAGCAGGTAGGGTGGGGATCTCTGGTTACTTTAGGTCCTGGGAAACTGAAGGAAGCCTCTTGTTTTCACCCCTTTCCCTCCAACAGGGGCTCGTTCATAGATGGCTAAGTGAGGCCCTGCCTAGTGGTACAGAGAGAGCTGGAGCCTGTGGAAAATTCGCCATTCCTTTGTAGCCAGAAAGCCCTCCTGTGGCATCCTTTAGGACACACTGGCAGGCACTTCACTTATGACAAACTGCCCATCTGTAGCTCAAAGTGGCAAGGAAAAAGGTAGCTCCGTTGAGAGGACACACGGATTCCTATAGGTAGACTGTATTGTGGGGGGAATCAAGTCCTGCTATGCGGTTAATACAGATTAGTAAAGCGCCCTGCCTCACACCACTGGTGAGACACTCTCCAGGACCTTGGCTGACATGCAGCTTCTTGGAAGCCCCCTCCTTCAGTGTTCCTGGGGTCCTTTTACCTGTACCGTATTAATCGAATAATCTTATTGTTCATAAAATCCACAGCGTGTGGGTGAGAAGAATCGATGCAGAAGCCATCACTCAGAGCAATTTTCAGCACCTCCTCCACGAAGACCTGGAAGCTGTTGATTTGCTTGTTGGCTGGCACCACCCAGAGCCTCTTGAGGTTCTGCTTGGTGTACTCCTCCTCTGGCAGGCCCTCCACATTGGCCACCCAGTCCAGAGTCAGGTGGTTGGGATCCTGCAAGTGGCTCGTGATGGAGGAGAGATTACCGTTGGAGCAATAGAAGAGCTTGGAGCCAAGGAGCTTGAGGAAGAGGCAAGAGGTACTGAAGATGTTGGCATTGAAGACCTCCATACTGGAGGAAGAGAGGCTATAGATCTGAGGTGCCTCCCGCACGGTGAAGTGGACTGTCTGCACACGCTGGTTCAGGGTGATATTGAGCATGGCATTCTTCTCAGCCTTGGAGAGCTCCACCTCCTTCTCCTGCAGTGCCTCAATCAGGGGCTGCACCTGGTAGAAGTCGGCCTCCCTTCGGAGCAGGCCCATCTCCTGGAAGTCCTCAGGCAAGTCCAAGTGGGAGGTCCGCAGGAAGTTGAGGATGTAGCGGAACACTTTGCCATCACGGTCAATGAAGCAGTTGCCCTGGCTGTCCCTCTTGGTGGGCATCTTTCCACTGAACATGGCACCCAGCATGGAGTCGGGGAAGCTGGTCAAGGTTGCCAGTGAAGTCGTATAGAGCTTCCCCCCAACGTTCAGTGTGATGGGGTCAGACATGGCAGGAGGCTGGGGTGCTGGAAAGTAGTCCTAGAGAGGGAGAGAAGTGAGAAATTACCCAACCATATCTGGTGTCTTAGTCTGTTGAGGCTGGTATAAAAGAATACCATAGACCAGGTGGCTTAAGCATTTATCTCTCACAGTTCTAGAGGCTGGAAAGTCCAAGATCCAGGTGTAGGCAGATTTGGTGTCTGGCAAGGGCCGTCTTCTCACTGGGTCCTCATGTAACAGAAGGGGCAAGAGAGCTCTTTTTAGAGTCTCTTTTATAAAGGCACTAATCCTGTTCATGGGGGCTCTATTCTCACAGCCTAATCACCTCCTAAAGGTGCTACGTCCATCACACTGGAGATTAGGATTTCAATATAGGGACCTGGGGGACACAAGCATTCAGACCATAACATCAATGTATGTACAGTTCTCAACTCCTTATTGTAGATCAAGCCTATAGTCCTAGAGGTTGAAATGAATTAGTACCTGATGAGATAATTGCCACATTATTTAAGCATATTAGGTTCACTAGGTAGTTAAAAAAAGAAAAAAGAAAAAAATGAAAAAACAAAGCCTGGGTCCTGCCCTCCAGAGATTATTGTAATTGGTCTTTAATACCCTAGCATTGGTATTTTTTAAAAGCACCCTTGGTGATTCTAAATGTTCAGTTAAGACACAGAACCACTGCTCTAAGGAAGGAAAGAAAATGTGCTTGGACTAAATGCTCTGTTACCTGCCCTTACACACATTTGTTTACATACTGGTGATACATCTTTTGACTTAGACAGTATCACCATCCATCCCAATCGTGCAGATGAGGAACACGGTCAGGATTCATTCCCCATGCTCAGAGAGGTGAAGGGCCATGCCAAGTTTCAAACCCAGGTTCCTTTATGTGAGAGAGACAAATACGTAAATGCTTACTAGTCAAACACTGGTACCTTCTAAGTACCTAGCCAATGCTCTGAGATTTAGGTCTCCCAGCCCAGCACTCCCTTCTGCTGTACCAATGATGCCTTCTTATTATTAGTCTATCTCAAGGATTTTACAATGAATAGCTATGATTAGTGTCATTTCCATCTCTGTCCCAGGCTTACAATGGGCCACTCAGCCCTCTGGACTCTGACACCCCTTGTTGGACTCTCATCCTCCTGTAACAATTAGCCTTGCAATGAAGACGCTCTTGACTCCTGGTGGCCTGCCCTTTCCCATCATGATGACACCCCAGCTACCTCTGAAGAATTTGAGTTTCAGTGCAAACGTGGGACTCTGCACGGAGCACCCTTTACCCATTCTCTACCCATTTCTCTCCTTAACAAGCCCTTCTCCCCACTACCTTGCAGCCTCCAGTGTCTAAGGCTGGTGAGTCTCCTTCAACCTGAAGTCTTGGAGTCTAACTTCTCTTTAAGGTTCTAGAAAGGAAGGGATGTACCCTCAGCTTCCAACATACTTTCCCAAGATCCCACCTGTGGAACAGATTAAGCAACCCTTCCCTGATGCTGGGTGTGAGGGCCACAAAGAAGAATTGGACCCAGTGCCGCCCTCAAAAAGAAAAGGCTGGCAGGGAGACCAAGACAAGAGGCAGTGAGGGTGCAGTGACAAGGGAGATGGACCCAGAGCTAAGGGAGTAGGTCAGGATGAATTCTGGCATGCTTACTATCCACATGGGAAAACAGAGGTCTGAGGGAGGACTTCCCCAAAGTCACCCAGCAAGGATGATGAGCAGGCCAGAGCACTTCTTACCCTCACCATGCCTGTCTTCTGAGGAGGCTGGCTGCACTAAGACCCCCTTAACTCCAGGGGATGGAGACTCCTGCCAGAAAATGGAGGCCGTCTATGCTGGTGGAGGGAGATGCTCAGCTGCCCCACCCAACTGTCTAGGGGGTCACCTCATGACTCCTTCCTCATCTAATGGGGCACTTTGATACTGTAGAAAGGCATTAACCATCTGGAGTGTCTGAAGAGAAACGAGCCATGGTGAAGTTACAAAATTGGCAGCAGAAGCCTGGAGCAGATGGGCTGTGGGACAGCGGGGAGGTCCAACTGAAGGGGTGGGGCTAGGGCTGAGGAAGGGATGGCTGCTGTGTGGGGACCTGCAGCTGCAGGAAGGTGCTCTGGCTTCAGGGCTGACACTGGTCAGTTCTGTCTACAGAGGGCCCAGGCAGGAGATGGACCCACGAGCCAGTGCCATCCCCTTCCTCTTTCCAGAATCTTCCTTTTCTTTCTAGGTAGTAATTTGCATATGTTAGTTTTCAGTCTCTCTCCTTGATTTCCTTAAAAAAAAATTTTTTTTAATGTTTATTTTAGAGAAAGAGTGTGGGTGAGGGAGAGGCAGAAGGTGGGGGGGGGAGGGCGGACAGAGGATCTGAAGCCGGCTCTGTACTGACAGTGGAAAGCCTCATGTGGGGCTGGAACTCACAAACTGTGAGATCATGACCTGAGCCAAAGTCAGACACTTAACCGACTGAGCAACCCAGGCGCCCCATCTCCTTGACTTCAGGCCCGGGCTCTATCCAGTAGCTCAGCAACATGGAAAGAGCAGCTTCAGGCATCAGGGAGGCCGGGCTGTCTTTGCTGTTGGTTCTGTGGGCTGCAGACCCCATATCTCCTCTGTACGTTAGTGCTGAAGAGCTCAGAGCACTGGGTGGTGGTGGGGGGGAGAGGGAGGGAGATAGTCGGGAGCCACAAGGCACACCTGGCATACCTGGGGGCTCTTGGGTGGGTACCCAAACTCCTATTCCTCTGCTTGCAAAAGCAGCAGAGCATCTGCCTTCCTGCCTCTTCCCCGGAGCTGTGCGACTCCCTGGCATCGTCACTGCCTGTCAGCCACACAGGCAGTCGGGGCGGAGACTGGTTAGAAGCCAGATTTCCTGCCCCCTCCCTCAGTCTAAGGTGCTCTCTGTGGTATTCTCTCCATGCCCACAAGTCACAGAGCTCAGCCACCCAAGCCCCCATTTTCCGCCATCACAGGTGTACAGGTCATGGTGTAAATGGCACAAGGACACATGAGGACAGGACCTGGCACCTCGGGGCAGGAGGTGCTGAAAGCTTTGTGTGATGAAGGGTTTGTGGTCAGGTGGGGATGAACCGACGATCCTCACTGAGCTCCAGTCCCCTGTGTATCCTCAGCTGTGTCCTGGACTTCTCCACCTTGATGTTCCACGGGTATCAGAAGGCCTGACACAGAATTCCTCTTCCCCCAAACCCACAGTGAACGCTTCTCAGCCACTCAACTGCCTGAGCCTAAGATCCAGGAGGCAGCTCCGAGTCCTCATCCCTATAATTTTTCTCACTCTGACTCTTCAAACGCATCCCTAAAGCCCTCCCCGGGCTCTGGCTTCTCCTCTGCTGTCCTTACCTCCTCATCTGGCTCCCTGCCTTCTTCCTCTCCACCTTCCATTTCAGTCTTCTGAAGCACTACTGCCTGGCCAGACCACCTTGCTCTTCCAAGCTCACCTCCAGCCCCTCCCCCACTCTATCCTCCCGCATTCCAGATGGCACTGCACACATCCTCATGCTGTCACCTGCCTGACTTTGCTCTCCCTATACCTCTCCACCTTCTCTGCTGTCAACCTTGAAGGCCCCACCTATGAGCCACTGTGTCTGTAAGGCCATCCCCAGATCTCCACTAGGTTAACCGCTCTCCTCTTGGGGCTTCCTGGTCCTTTGCACAGCCTACCTGGCCGTGCCCACCATTCCATCATGTTATGAGCTGATTTGCACTCCTTCAAGGTGCAGATCACTGGACATCCACATCCAAAAAAAAGAACCTTGACCCATATCTCGTACCATGTAGGAAAAATTAACTCCAAACAGACCACACACCTATAGGTAAAATCTTTTGAAAACTAAAACTTCTGGGAGAAAACCTTTGTGACTTTGGGTTAGGCAAAGATTTGTTGCATGGGACCCAAAAGGCACAAACCATAAAAAAATCGACACACTGGACTTCACCAAACGAAAAACTCCTCTTCAAAAGGCAGTGTTGAGAAAATGAAAATAAGACACACTGGCAGAAAGTATTTGCAAAACATAGATCTGATAAAAGGTTGTTAACAAGAATATAGAAAGAGCTCTCAAAACAGAAAACAGACAACCCAATGAAGAAATGGGCAGATGATCTGAACACACACTTCACCAAAGACATATTGATGACAAATAACCACTTGAAAAAAAAGCTCAACAGCAATAGTCATGAAGGACATGAAACTTAAAACCACAATTAGATAACACTGTATACCTATTAAAATGGCTCCAATAAAAAAATCTGACCATACCAGGGCACCTGGGTGGCTCAGTCAGTTAAGCACCCGACTCTTGATTTCAGTTCAGGGCATGATCTCATGGTTCATGAGTTTGAGCCTCAGGTTGGGCTCTGTGCTGACAGCGCACAGCCTGCTTGGGATTCTCTCCCTCCCTCCCTCCCTCCATCCCTCTCTACGCCTCCCCCATGCTCTCTCTCTCAAAATAAATACATAAACTTAAAAAAAAAATCGGATCATACCGAACGCTGCTGACTATACAGAGCAATGAGTCTCCTGCATTGCCGGTGAGAATGCAAAATGGTACAACCATAGTGGAAGTTTGGCATTCAGTTTCCGCACGACCCATCAATCCCACTCCTCATTATGTACCCAGAGAAATGAGGACATATGTCCATGCAAACACCTGTACCTGAATAGTTATAGCAGCTTTATTCATAATTGCTCAAACCTGGAAACAACTAAAATGTAAGTGGTAAACACACTGTCACACAACCATACAATGGAATATGACTCAGGAATACAAAGGGACTAGCTACTGACATATACCACAAGAGCAGAATGTCAAAAGCATTATGTTAAGTAAAAGAAGCCAGCCTCAAAAGGTTACATAGGTAGGGTGCCTGGGTGGCTTAGTCGGTTAAGTGTCTGACTTTGGCTCAGGTCATTCTCTCTCATGTTTGTGAGTTTGAGCCCCGTGTCAGGCTCCGTGCTGACAGCTTAGAGCCTGGAGCCTGCTTTGGATTCTGT